ATGCACACACATATACAAAGATATTTTTGCGTTGATATTTGTGATTGTATTGTTTGTATTTCGCTTTTGCTTTGAGCTTTATGCTTGGCGCAATGCGTTTTGCGTCTTTACTACAACACACACACACACACACACACACACACACACACACACGCATACATATAAGACATTTCATATACGCTTATACCACACTTTGGCTATACTGATTTTTTTTTTGTATGTTTCTGCTACTGCTGTTCATTTTGTTGTTGTTTCTGTTGTTGTTCATTACATATTTCATAATAGTAGTAGTGGTGTAGCACTACAGCAGTATGCATGCTGTCGTCGCCTGTGGTTTTCATGCCTCATGACTTTTTATTGCGTCAACATTAACTTTCTATTAACTTAAGCAGCAAAGTAAAAGTGCAATCAGATTTTAGTGTTGCTTTCTGTTTTGTGTATTTTATGTACGTTTTTCCTTTTGGTGTTGTTTTTTTTTTTGCTTTTTGTTTATTTATTCGAAATACTCATAAACAAATGTTTATTTAACTAATGCAGGATAATAGCGTTTGTTTTCTCTTGTACACCACAAATTTGCACGTTTTGCAAATTAAAGTTTTTTTATTCTCTTCTAGACCAACAAATTTGAAATTATACAATTGTTTTAGAGTTGACAAATATTCGAGAAAAATATTGCTTTTCGATTTATTTTGCGAATGTAAAAATTCAGTATTTCTATTGACTATTTTTCGAATGAGTTGATCCTCCAATTTGGAGTGAGCATTTAGTATATATATATTTTTTTTTGTTTTCTAGCGAATTTCGATTAGAGGGGCCTATAATTTTTATAAGACGCCCTTTAGAAATACTGAATTTTTATGGGTAGCTTTTGATTTCATATCGCAAAGTGCACTCTGAGGGTTGATATTCCTTGCCGAGGAGCGACCGCGTTAGAAGGATTGATTTAAATTGTATACCCTCCATGAACATGATATATGTATACGAGTATATGAATGGCATATACATTAAATTTGATCTGAAGGATGTAAGTACTAGAAAGAGAAGAGATAGGCAAGTTGATTTGCCATGTACATATGCACGTATGTATGTCTGTCTGTTTGCACGCGATTCAAACGAGTGCCTTAGCATTTGAGTTGATAATATTAAGTCTCATTCGGTAAGCACATGTCTTTTTATACAGTTTTAATTATTGAACGGAACCGGATTGAATCTAAAAATCATCAAAATACGACGACTGATCTGTTCAGTGGTTTTGCGTAAAAAAAAACTTAATTAAACCATCTCATGACTAAATATATATACAAATAAGCATTAGTATTGAAAACCATCGAAATCGAACCCTTTATCATAGAGTTACCTTTCCGCAGATTCTACATTATTATACACATAAACATATAATCTATATGTACAAAAGCTTTGTCCTCAGTGACTGACGGATTAACCAACAGCCTTAAACATTGCTCATAGACACCTGAGATTTGGAGGGTGAGTACGGTATATATACCAATTTTGCGGAAAGTGAGGCTGAGACCAATTTATTGGAAAAGTAGAGTATATTTTTATTTTTATATTTTTATTTGATTTACTTAAAATGTTTTACACAGATTACTCTATGCCTAATTGGAAAAGTTTTCCAGAAAGTAGATCTGGGACTGATTCGATAGCTCAGATTTGCTGAATACGTGGAAAATATAGATGTAGGTTGATGTTTGCCAATATCAATATTTGAAAATTTGTTCAGAAAAAACATATTCATAGTTCAGTTTGCGAAGTCTGTAACATATATAAACTAATATGTGGAAATATTTTCATTTTATATGGGTATATAGGTATAAGTTAAAATAAAATAAAAGCAAGGTCTGCGTTTTGTGTGCAAGATTCCTAGTCGAAAATGTTTTACTTAAATTTTTATTTAAATCCATGATTGATACAAGAATTTATTGCTAATGATTTCAGCTGTTTGAGCCTTTGCTCTATCGAGATTATTAAGTAGTCATTAAGAATGCATGAAGAAATCTGCTCGATCGGTACCACGAATTTTAAATAAAACCCAAAAAGCGGCGCGATTGCATTTTGATCAATTCTTCCTAAGAAAATTGAAAAATTGTCAGTCTAGCAGCTCGTTACTGGTGATGAATCTTGGTTCTATAAGTACGATCCAGAAAGCAGAAACCAGAAACCAATAGGAGCAAACCCACCCGTAAAATTTTAGCGACAAAAATCTTCGGTAAAAGTAATGATGTCACTTTACTTCACCCGATCTAAAATGGTAAAATTAAAAAAAGTACGTTTTTTGGAAGAAACAGGCCGTAAAATAAACGTAGCGACAGCAATTTATAAGAATAAAAAAAATTTTCGTAATAACAGATATGTCCAGGCGTTTTTGTAACTGGTCACATTATAATGTTCCATTAGAAATCGTTGTGCATGCAAAACGAGGCCATAATAAACTTTAGAAGATTTTTATGCAAATGAAATTTACATATTTAATTGATAAAATTTTAATCAAAAAATTGCCTATGGCAATCGTTCAAAATAATTTCAATTAGAGCGCTCAAAACACTATCAAATGTCATATGCATGATTTAAAAAGTCAAGCCTGATTTTTGGTTATCGGTCTTTTATTATATTTATTAAACTTTATTAATGTGGTGCTTGAATTAAATGGATGAATTTACTTTTTATTACCCTGTTCAGGGTAAAGTAAGACCTTTTTTAATTTTTTGAAAAGGTTTTTCATTATATTTGCAGACCAGCAAACTGTTTTTTTTTCCTCCCTAAGAAAGCGTTATTGTATTTCATGTATTCTAAGTTTTAAAAGCATTTAATGAAGAGAATTTCGTTTGAGCAATTTTCTATGTAGATGATTTACTAAAAGCCAGGAAAATAACGAAATCGAACGATAAATATAAAACAATTGTTTGACATTGCGTACTGGCATTCTGAAAGCCGGGGTTCCGGTCCTAGCTTGACCAACATATAAAAATAATTTTTCTAATTGTTTTTGCCTAGGCAGGGCATATCAACCTTCCAAAAATTCATCAACCGTTTGGAGGAGGCTTAATAACAACTGTCGGTCTCCCAATTTGTTGAAAAAACATCCGGACGCGCAAGTCAAATTGAAGAGAAGCTCGGCCGAAAATCATGTCAGCTTCAATTATATGTTGTAAAGAGTGATTTTTAGCTATTATCACTTCGGTAACACTGGTTTAAATAGCTGACGCACGTCTCATGCTTTGTATCCCTGTCAAACATCTTCAGTTTGGTCTAGAATTTAACCATGAATCGTCTTACAAACGGACAACGCTTGCAAATTATTGAATTTTATTATCAAAATGGGTGCTCTGTTAAGAAACTTCATCAAGCGCTTCTTCCATTTTATGGTAAGTTTAATCGATTAGTTAATGGGCGCGTAAATAAGTAGAATTGTCGATTTTAGAGTGAAGATCAGCCGGAAGCATTGCAAGAGCTATCAATGCATCTAGAAAAAGTCACCGTTTGGTGCGGTTTATCGGCTAATGGCATCAATGGGCAATACTTCTTCAAAGATGATACGAATGGGCAACGTAACTGTGAATGGTGAGTGCTGCCGTGAGATCATATCAATTTTTTTTTTTGCTCCACTTGACTTGCATGACATGTGGTTTCAACAAGTCGGTGTCACAGCACGAGTAATAATGGACTTATTGAGAGGCGATACCGGTCAAGATTATGCGATGTATCGCCTTTAGACTATTTTTTGTGGGCTTATGTTAAATCTGATGTCTATACAATTAATGTCGGTGCAATTGATGCATTGGTGGACAATATTAAATCATTTATTCGTGAGATACCGGGCGAAATGTTGAAGAGTTTAATTGGAATAACCGGATGGAATATTTGAGGCGCAGTCACGGTCACGGTCATCGAACATTAAATTATATGGACCGTACTATCGATTCAAATATAGATTTCAGGCATTATTTTGAATTTTTTTTTTTTGACAACTTTCCTATATAAAAAAAACCTTTGTAAAGGGCAAGCAATTATTTAATATTTAATATCATAATTATTATTTCACCTTTCACGTTTAATTTACTTAACATTTTATGTTTAGTAGGAGCCAGAAAAAAAATTAAGTTTTACACAGTTAGTTAAGACACAAAAACATTAAAAAAAATAATAAATTGAAAATAATTTTCAAAATGTTAGATACAACATTAAAATACATACACAAAAACTATAAACTATACGAATACATACATTTATGTTAATTTAACTGAAACTTTTAGTGGAGAGACTGTAAACTTATTAATTGACAAAATACATATGTGTATGAGTATTAGAGAATGAGAATTTCCTCGAAAGTAGTGACATAGCTATACAGTTGTAGTTTGGGTAAATTTGAATTTTTTTTTAATTTTTGGTTGGTGGAAGAGGGTTACAGACTCGCTTAAGGGTTTTAAGTGTTTATGTACAACAAGATCTGTTGAATGAATTAGAAACTCAAAAAAGGAACGAATTCGAATATATAACGAGAACATACATACATATGTATATTTTCTTTAATCTATTTCTCAAAAGAAATACATGCTGGCTAGGTTTTATTGAGCGTAAGCCATGTGCAGAAACAATTTCGGGTAGGTATTAGAATAGAAATTATAATTTTTGTAAAGGACGGACTTATTTACATTGCGGCTTTCGCTTGAATTTTATTTACAGACTGAAAGAAAATTTGTTACATATATATTTTATTTCATTTTTCATATATTTTTTGTTTGGAAAAAAACGCTAGCAATTTTATTTTATTTTACCTTTTCATATGTAACACTTTTGATTTAAACAAAAAACTTGTATTTGATATTTTTTAATTTTTTTGTATATTTTTTCGTTTTTTTTTATTTTCTCTTTATAAAATAAAATTATAAACTTACAATCAATAATCACTTAAACGTATAAAATCTCTAAAATTTACGCGACAATTACAGATTTTACTCAACTTCTTTCTATCCTCTTTCATATTTATAATTTCTTTCATACATTCTTTCACTTTTCACTGCTGCGTCAATGCGATATTTTTACAAAAAAATAAAATTGTAATGAACGATTTCCACTCGTTGCATTATTATTTCACCAAACTGTTGTTGTTCTCTCTAAAAGTGCGATTTATATTCGCTCACAAGAGCGTAAAATTATTCTCAAATGCGTTTTCCTCGACTTCGGTTTGCTTACTATAGATTCTTTTGTAAGAGTATGCGTCTTATTTTAATTGAATTTCGAAACGCAAATTATCAATAAAGTGGAGTTTACTATAAATAAATTTTTGAACGTGTTTTTTTTTTCTACTAGGGCAAAAAGAATATACTAAAACCCTTTGGAACTTCTTCTGAAGAGAAAATTTTTGCTGCTTCGAGGTTTTCAATAGAGAGCGAGAGAGTGAGAGAGAGAAAGAGAGTGGAAAATACTTGTTAGTACAGCCTTTCCACTCCGAGAGGTGCAGTGAATGTGAGTAACGACGCATCGATGACAAAAATAAATTTGTGAAAATTCAAAGTGAAAGAAATAAGTTTTTTGTGAAATTTTCGGTGAATGCAAAAAGTGTGTGGCTTTGTGTAAGAGGGTAATAGAGAGATAGAGCCAGAGCTTCACTAAAATTGCGTGAAGTTTTGTGTGTGTATGGGCGTGTGAGAGAGATTTATTTTAGAATTTATGAGGAAGCAGCGGCTGCTTTGGCTTTCGATGCGTTCTTAGTGCGACCTTCGCTATTCAATCCAGCTAAGAGTTCACTTTTACGGATGCTCTTCAAGTCCAAATCGCCATAGTAGTCTTCGCTGTAATTGTATAAGATGTGGAGATGGTAGAAAAGGTAAAAAGGGTTAGAGGATCTTACACTGAACCAAAAGAAAACTTCTTAAATGAATGATTATGTAGAGTACTTATGTGGGGAAAGTGATTTGTACAAAATTTCGGAATGGTAAATAAAATTAAGCATATTTAATAATTTAGATATTTTACTAGGCCTTACAGAGATAAAAAGGGAGCAGGATAGAGAGAGAAGAAGAGAGTGCGTGAGTATAACTTAGGTAATAGGCAATGTAGCATGAGAGTGATTTTGCAAGCCAGTTCAACAAATAAAGTTGATGCACAGCTAAAGTGAAAGCACAAATTAAAGCGCATGTTAGTTAATGAAAGCTTCAACCACAAACCCGGTTAGTTAGTGAAAAAAGAATGAACTCATATATTAAAGTTAAGATTATGCATTTAATTAAGGGAGCTAAAGCACTAAGGAGCAATGTAAGAAAATGAAAATTTTCCTTACCATCCGGGAACATCTTCTGGGTCTTCGCAGTTACCGCTACCATCAGAATCACCAATTTTGAAAACTGTGCCAATTGGGCAACCATATTCGCGGGCAACACCCTCCAAGCAGATATAATATTTACGGCAATCTTCAGGGTGAGCGTGTCTCGAGAAAGAGCCAGCGTTGGCAAGTTCACCAGCAGCGGGACAGCTGAAACCATTGGCCACTTCTGCAAACAAAAATGTCAGTAGTGTAAAGAGAGAGAGAGGAGGAGAGTGTGTTTTTTTTTAATATTACCTTCGTTTTTGCATTCTGGCACTTGATCGGCCCACATGCACACACGAGCATCACGATCGTAAGCAAGACCGGGAGAGCATTGATATCTTGATGGTTCACCGTTCCAACAGTTCCAGAAGACATCGCATTTATTCTCATCGGGGAAGATACCGTAAAGGCGAGAACAGTGTGGTGTTGAAATTGGTGGTTCTACAAGATGAAAAAAATTATTTTCATTTGTTTTATTTATTTAAAGTATAAATTAAAAAAATTGTATCAACAAGTAGTTTCTCTGACTCACCCAACTGCGAGCGATCACCGCAATCCACATTGTGCAAGTAGTCACAGTTCTCTGTCAAAAATTTGGGGTCTGAAGCATCAAAAGCCAAACCGTTGCCGCAAGTCTTCAATTCCGCAACATTATTGTCACATTTCCAGTATTTGTCGCAAGACTGATCGTGTGGATAGAAACCGAAGTCATCGGGACACTTGAAGCTATCTTGGGCCACAGCTGTAAGAGAGAGAAAGAGTAAAGTCTCATCAGTAAGAAATAAACCAAAAATATAATAGCAGACATATGTACATATATATGTAAGTGAAATATTAGTACGAAACGCTAGTGGAAAAGCGGCACATTGCAAACAAATATGCTAATTAGTTTTGTGGCATGCAACATGTATTTTTTCTCCTAGGTAATTTATTGTAAATTTTCCCTACAAAAATATTTATGTTGTGAAATCAATTTTGGCTATTGATTGCATATTCAGTTGCATATACATACATAAATCTATATGGATCTCGTAGCGGAATATCCAATGGTTAATATATTCATGCAACATTGCTGCCGTATATACATACTCGTACATATCTACATATATTTGAGTCCAAACACTAAATTTGCCAATTCCGTTGCCTATCATCATATAATATTTTTGTATATACACATATATATATGTATATGTATGTGCACTCTATATGCAATATTCTGCAATTGCACTTTTGTTTCCTATAAACATCATAAACACAAACACACGCACACACACATTTACACGCAGCACACACACAACAAATAAATACCTCGCTGCTTTTAATGGCGTGGTCTCACTACGATAAGCAACGAAATGTATGTACGTTTGTTAATTTGCACATAAATAACCGCGTAAATGCTGTTGACGCGCGCATCTGCATCTGCAGCTAGCGGCCGACGAAGCAGGTAAAAATTTTGTGAATGTGTAAATTTCCACTAACTGATTGAATTGTTTGCTATTGACAGGGCTAGGCTTATGCATACATACATACTCGTACATACACTCACACAAGCGTGCAACTAAGTTCATATGCGTTGGGTAATTTTTTTCGGCAGTGCAATGCTTTAAATGTTAGCAGTTGTTAAGTACTTTGTTTTAGTGGGTAGAAATTGCGCAAAAATATTTGTTGTAATTTCAATAGAATCTCATGAATTTGTTACGCACACAACTGCAGAGGAATTTTGTGCTGAAAACATATCAAAAAAAAATATTTTAAAAATTTAGAAAAATTTTTTTCATTAGAAAATGCGTTTTTGATACAATAGGAGAACTCACATCTTTGTTTACCGCATTGGTTAGAGATGCCGATTTTTTTTTGTGAATATTAAAACATGAATTTTAATTTTTTTCAATTTCTTAAAGATGTTGAATTTTTTGTTTATGTGAAAATCGCAAATTTTCCACTAATTCTCATATTTGTTAAAATGTCTCAACTTATAGAAATCTATTTATTTTTCCATACAATTTGCATTTTGTTTTATTTTTTGTATGTTCAAAATAATTTTATTTATTTTTTACATTGATTTTTCTCGTTTTATCAATCTGTTATATGAGATCTTTATATTATATCAATTTTACTATATCACTGTACTTTTTGAGTAAATTTTAAAGCATTTCACTTTTGACGAATGCTAAAGTATAGAATCTGAAAATTTTCTTGTGATGATTTTACTATTTGTATTGGACTAAAAATTTAGCTAAATTTTTAATTTCGGTCGCTCCTCGGCAGCGAATGTCAACCCCTCCGAGTTGATTTCTGACATGAAAATCGAAAGACCGTCAGGTCCCTCCATTTGTTGGAAAAACATCAAGGCGCAAAACCACAAATTGGAAGAGCAGCTGGGCCGAAAATCGCTTCAGCGGTTACAAAGTGACAATTAAAAAAAAAACTGGAACTTGAATGTTTTTATCACTTAGAATTTTGTTTATTGTTGTTGTTTGGTTTTAGCATGTTTGAAATCATATAAAAAATAATTGATTTATTTAATTCCCTCTGCCGTTTTTATTTTCATCTCTAGCATAATGAGAAAGTTTTTTCTAACGAATATCATTGTTCAAATTTTTAACTTTTACCTTTTTATTAAAAAATAAATATTATTATGCGTTTTCATTAAAATATTATTTTTTAATAGAGTGAAATTTTTAAATAATATGCTTTTCTTAGGTTTTTTGACTTTAATTTTGATATATGTTTTAATTTACTCCAATTAAATTATTTACTTATTGAATTTTTATTTTAACTTGCTTCAATTAAATTTGCTCATTTTTTATTTCAAAAATATTTTTTTTAAAGAGTGATGTATTTAAATAATTTGCTTTTCTAAGTTTTTGGGACTAGAATTTGAATATTCGCTCTAATGAAGCAACCTTTTCATATGAAAAAAAAAATATTTTGTTAATTGAATATAAATTAAAATTATTTACTTTTCTATTATTTTCGCTTAGTTGTATTAATATTAAAATTAATTTTTGTTCATGTTATTGCTTTATATTTTTTTTACCTAAATTAAAAAAATTTTAATTTTATCTAGAAAAAAATAGTAAATTTTCAAACTAATTTTATTACATCTTTTGGCTTTTATATTATTTACAAACATTAATATATGCTTTTCTATTGCTTATGCGTTTTCGTTAAAATTATTATTTTAAAAATAATTCACAAAAGAACTGTTTTGCTTTAGTGTAGTACTAAAAAGCTCAATTTATGTTTTAATATCCACTTAAACTTTTTGTATTCCCAAAATTTTCTTTTATTAGGCTTTATTATTTTAATTATTCCAATGGAACTTAAACATTAACAAAAATTTTTGTTGAATAAATCATATTCCTGCAGCTGTATTAAGGTCAAACTTCAGCAAAAATATAAATAATTTGTTTAAAATTTAATCAATATCAAGACTTTTAAATTTTTTATTACACATAAAAAAGTATAATTCAACAAAAAGAAATTAAAATAATTTTTTAAATTTATTTACTTCCAATTTTTTAATTAAATTTGTACTGTTAACAAAATATTTAACAATAACTTTTCCGAATTCGCAAAAGGATCAAAACAGCAGCATTTCCTTTAATATGTGTCACCTTGAATAACGAAAAAACAATAATAATAACAACAACTACATAATTTTTTCATAAATATAATTGAGAGACTTTTTCGTGTTTTTTTTTCCTGTCCCACACTACAACATACTTTCATATGGAAATTTTCAGCAGACACTACACCTACACACACACACACGCATGCTGATTTCCATCACAATTAAATTGCTTTCACTGAAAATATTTAATTAAAATTCCGCCAAAAGCAAAAGCAAACACAACAACCAACGGAAATAAACACCGTGCAAAGAAACATAAACAAAAACAAAAAATTAAAGAAAGAAAAAATTAAATAAATAAATTATAAAACAGCATCAAAGAGTGTTCAATACTACTGTCATTAAACAGCTACAAATATGTGTGGGTGTGCAGAGATGTACGGAGAGTGAGAGAGTGAATGTGTGAGGTTGAGCGGAAGTTGAAATAAAAATATCAGCAATAACAACTGCTGTTGTAACAACAATAATAATAACAACAAATTATTGGCAACACAAACACTCTTTACAATTTAGTGGCAACGTCTGTGCAATGCACACAGACACTCTCATATATAGTAAATATGTACATGCAACATAAATACGTGTCTATACTTCACTCTACTCACTGCTCGGTATGTGGCATGTGTTTTAGTGGCACTCTTTTGTGGTCGTTTGTCAGTTAACCAACCAACAACAATAACCACAAAACAACAATAACAAGCACTTCATGCGGGCTTACCACCACACAAAAAAAAAATGAAAATAAAAACAAAATATTGAAATATATGAAAGCACAACAATTTGTAGCGTATGTGGTAGGGGGTGTGTAAATAAATATAGTAACTGTAAATCAGAAAATACCACTGCCACCGCTGTTCGTTGGCGGTGGTCGGTATGGAGCAGCTAACAGTTTGACGGCCTGATTGTAATGTAAAATGTTGTTGTAATTATTGTTGTTGATATGAAAATTTGTTTAAAATAAAATCCCTTTGACTGTCCGTTAAACGGTATAGATTAACAGCAGCAATAATTAACAACAACTGCTTGACAATCGATAAGCGTTTTGCTTACAGGCATTTCGCGCGAAAGTGATGAGTTCTACAAAATACTAAAAGAAAACACCGAATGATCGAGTAAAAGTGGTCTGAAAAAATTGTTAATTCATACTTTACTTTAATTTAAATTTCTTATAATTGTATATGCTTAAAGCCATATTTATTTTATAAATAAAAAAATTTTAATTATTTTTTTAATTATACTAAAATTATTTATTTTTATTTATGTTGTTTGAATGTTATTGTAGTTCAATATATGTTTTTTAAATTTATGTAAATCTTTTGATAAAAAACAAGTTTTCTTTATTTATTAGTGCTTTGTATTGAATTTCTTAAAAGGTATTCATAAGAAGCGTGATATCTTTTTTAATAAACTCCAATATAGTGAATTGTGCACAGAATTTTTTATCTTGGCTTAATGATGTAGAATTTTTAAATATTTTTATGCTAACTTTTTTATATATTTTTTTAAATTTTTTTATTTATAATTTGTTATTATTCCCATAATACAACATTAAAAATTTAGAGTAAAAAGCATATAAAAATTCAATTTAATTTTCACCTCTATATTCATATAATTATCGAATTACTTGAAATTAGAAATAATACATTAATATAATATATTAAAACAACAACAATTGCTATTTCGAAAAATATCTATATATTTGAATTTTAATTTTATAATATATATTTTTTTTTAATTTTTGCGCAAATCATTAAATGCAGTTTCAATGCAATTATTTTTTCATATAATTTTATTTCGTCTAAAATTTGAAAAATATATACATACATACATTTACGTTTTATGCATATGTATGATTTAAAATTCCTAATATATTTACAACCAGTTTTCAACTTTAATTAATTTTTGCATGGCATACAAGTGTGTATGTTGATTTACATTCCCATTGCTGCGGTTACTACTAACTAAGCCTTTCGCAGTTGCCCAAACACAACCGAAACAAATTGTTTATTTACATGTGTACATGCATATGAATAAATTTTTTTTTGGTTGCACTTTTATTGGCAGTTTCCGCTATAGATTTTCAGCTTTTTGTTGTTGTGCTGTCGCTGTTGCAGCATTTATTTATGTTGC